TCACTGGACTCAGCGTCGGGGGCGGGGCGGGAGGAGGCCACGCCCATCCGGCTGACCCCGCCTCTTTTAGCAGCCCCGCCCTGCCGGTTCTGTCCCCGCCCTTCCAGCCCTTGATCTCGCCTCCAGGCTCTGAATTCTCTCCTCTCAGTTGCGTCGCCCCCCCGATTCAGTCCCTTCCCGGAGTTTCTCGTCCTGTGTTCCATCCCCTCCCCCCAACTCCGTCTATCCCAGATTTTCTCTCCTCCCGAGTTCTCTTCCCCATCTGAGATTTCTCTCCCCCACGCCAGTTCCCTTCATTTCGTCCTCCCATTTTCTCTCCCTTCGGTTCCAGCTTCCCCTGAGTTTCCTTCTGAGTGTCATCGTCTCGGGCTTATCCCTCCGAATTTCTGTGTCCTCCGGTTCTACATCCCGTGCCCCAGATTCCAACCCCATCCCTCGTCATCCCCAGTTCCAACTTTCTCATTCAGAAGGTTCTTTTCTTATCCAGGGAATTCTCTTCCCCTGAATTCCAACCCCTAATTGTCTCTTCTAGTTCTTCCCCGAACCAGTTTCTTCCGCTTTGACTTCTATCCATCCACTCGTTTCCATCTTTCCCCTTTTGAATTCCATCCCCCTTCAGCCTTCTTTCCCCCTCGGGGCGCACCCCTCTTCCAGTTCCTTCATCCCCGTTTCCCTTCCCGTCTGAGTTCCATCCCTGACAGAAATACTGCCCCCCAGTTGCCAGTTGCGACGCATATAATTTCTTCTGCACCCTAAAATCTGTTCTCCCTCTACGTTCTGTCCCCACCCCCTGAGTTCTATTCCCACCGTCTGAGTTCTGTCCCTTCCCGCTGGGATCTGTTCCACCCCGCCCCCCACCCTTTTCCCCCGAATTCCAGCCCCGCCCCTCTGGGGTTGAACGTGGACTTTTCCCCCGCTCCTTTTCCCCCGCTCCTTTCTCCAGACCAGCCTCTCTCCGAACCCTGAGTTCACCTCCAGATCCAGTCCCCAGGAGGGCGCTCCCTTCCCCACCTCCTCCCTGCGTCGGGCCACAAATGCATTCGAGATTAAATTTTCATGATGTGGCAGAGGACCGCCAGGGGGTGGGAGGAACCGCCGGCGTGGAGGGTGGCCCCCGTCACCGCCCGCCGCAGCCTCTCGCCTAGCTTTGTCTCGCTGGGTCTCTGGGTCTCACAATTTTGCCTGTGTTTGAGAAACCCCCGGGTGTCCAGGGAGGAGGGGGCTCGGGGCCGGAACGCTGGGTCTCAGGGAGCAGGAGCCCGCAGAGACGTGCACACGCGCCACCGTGTGGCGGCAGAATCCCCCGCCCGGGTGCGGAGGCGGCGGCCGCGGCTCCCGGCCAGGTGCGAAGGTGCAGCAGATGGTGAAGAGGAGGGAGTGGGAAGGAGGCCTGGCCGCTGCCAGATCTCGTGCCTTCGCCGGAACCATCACCATGGAGACCGTGGAAGGCAGGAAGGACCCAGCCCCACACTTTTTCGGGACCCGAGAATGAGTTCTTCAGCCTCCTACGGAGGGTCCCCGTGAGAACTACAAGTCCCAGCGGCCGCTGGACTTCTCCGTTTGCTTCGAAAGGGCTGTGTACGCCGAGGGCCGCTGGGAGTGGTAGTTCTGAGACAATGGGCCGAGGTTGCGTTTCGCCCTCTGGTGGACATGGCGCCCATGTTCGCTCCTTCAGATGCCCGACAGACCCTCCCGGTTGTCATCCCCCCACCCCGAGCTTTTCCCCTTCTCACCATCTAGTCTCCTCTGCACCCCCAATCCCATTGGCCTCCTTGCTGTTCTTCTAATTTACCACTGAGACTCCTCCATTGGCTTATCCTCCTGGGGCTATGAAAGGAAAGGGTGTTGGCAATCGCTCATTAATTCGACAAATGTTTATTGACTTCCTACTAGGTGTCAGGCATTGTCACACCATCGAGGACATAGCTGAGAGTAACACTGGGAATTGGGGACCCCCAGAGGAGGATTCTAACTCAGCCAGGGTAGATCAGAGAGCTTAAAACTTGAAAAGCTTTCCAGGAAAGCTCAAAAAAGGGGTGACTGAGTGTGTGGGGGTGTAAGGATGGTAGAATAGGGCGGGCTATCTGCCTCGGGGGAAACAGTGCTTGCAGAGACAGGAAGTGGGAAGGATTGCCATGAAGCTCGTCAGGACAAGGAATAGGATAGGCTAAAGATTATGGTATGGATCGGGTCACCAAACAGCTCAGGAAATGTCCCTCCTGAGGGCAAGACAATTAGAAATGTCCTGGGTGTGCTGGAGAAGTGGGTATTAAGTGGAAGGAACAGCAGACACTAAGAGAAGTGGTGCTCAGGACACTCTTTAGTGTGACTAGACTTAGGGAGAGGGAGGAAAAGGCCAAAATGAGGCAGGAAGGCCAGGCCACAGAGCCCGGAGTGCCCGGCTGAGGAGCTTGGCCTTTCTAGGGGAGCTGGGGGAGCTGGGGGAGCCAAGGAAGGGCTCTGAACAGGAAAGGGTCAGCTCTAGGACCACGCGGAGACTCATGAGGGAGACTGGAGGTCAGGAGGCGGGAAAGAAGATCCTGGGGGAGAGGACAAGACCTGAACGGGGCCAGTCACCCCTAGGGGACTCCGGGGCTACAGTCCGATGTCCCTCCTCCCTCCCACTCCCCATGTATTCCTAGCCAGACACAGAACAAGGGCAAAACTCTTTTATTTCAGCTTTGGAGAAGCCACCACCTCTTCTCCGCACTTGGAAGCCACTGGGTCAAGAAGGCGCCGACAGAAGGGGCATCGCCACCATCAACTGCTGAGGAGAGAGAAGGAAGAGAGAGAAGAGTTAGGACCCCAGAGTCCAGCCCCCGGCCCCTCCCTCCCTCACATGCGGGAGTCTGAGTCCCACTTCCGGGCACCCCCCCACACCCCCCCCCAGGTACCCTTCTATTCCGATGGAAGGCCGCTCTGCTCTCATCAGACTTGATCCGCAGGGGGATGTAGGCATCCAGATGGTATAGCTGCTGGGAGCCCCCCATCACCAGGTGGTTCTCCCCGATCTCCAGCGACAGCCCCTGAGCTCCATCCTGGGGATGCAGTGGAATCGGCCCATGCGTCCCTTCCCAGCCACAGGATGGTAAGAACCAGACCAGGGAGAGAATTTGGGTGCTGTGATACCATATTTACAGGGTCCGACATTCCGCGGAAATTGTAAGTGACTGATCACTTACAATGCCTGGACATCCTTGAGACAGCACCGGAAGTGGGCCCGAGAGCCCCGGGGGCCAGGGGAGGCAGCTGCACTCAGAGAGGCAGCACTAAGCAGGCTCACACAGGTCTGGCAACAAGGCCACTTCACTTTTTCTCGAAGACCCGACCTCTCCAGACCTCATTCTCCAGCTCCAGTTGAGGGTACACTCACCAGTTTGGGGAGGTCGATTTCAGCCAAGAGGAGGTCAGGGGCTTCCAGCCAAATGTTCAGGTGAGGCTTCTCAGGGCTGGGGGGGAACAAGACCCAGAACTGAGGAGAGCCTCCAGGTCTTGGCCAGGCTGTTCCCTCTGCTGGGCATGCGGTTCCCTCCCTTGCTTGCCTCCACGGGCCCTGCTGCCTCAGGTGGCCTTCCCCGCGGGAGTTCTGCTTCTCCCCACTTTGGACCCAAGGAGCAGTTGGGGAGACATGAGGGAGGGAACACATCGAAAGCCCACCCTTCCTCAGGTCTCGGGGAGTCCGCGGTGTACAGGTTCCCCAGCTCCTGGATACGAGGTCGCTGCTTGGAGCGGATATTTTGCTGGGAGATGGAGCCCAGAAAAGGCCGGTTCTTCAGTATCCGCCACTCTGCAGGGAGGGGCGCAGGGTCAAAGGTTACATGGACGAAGGAACCCTTTGCTCCGTTAGGGGCGTTAGGAGCGGTCTTGCCCAACAAGAGCTTCGGGAGAGGGGCGAGGTAAGCAAGGGAGCCGGCCACACCCCCAAGCTTCGCTTTAGGAAGCTCACCCACCTTAACCCCGCCCTTCGCCGGGTATTCGCCAATAACACCTAGACCTGCTCTTGACTCCGCCCCTCCCCGGCTGCCCAGACCCCGCCCTTAACCCCTCCCCGCCACCCCAGCCCACCGTGAGAAACCTCTCCCTGGAAATTGAAGCCGAGAGGCTAAGAAAACCCCGGCCCAGCTAGGCCCACCTCTCCCAAAGGCCGTCCCCAAGCCGCTCCAGGGACCGTTCCTCCTGGTGGCCCAGATGGTGTCCCTCACCTGGATTCAGCTGCAGGCTGTATTTGTCCTCGAGGCCCTCCCTGGCGATGGTGATGACAAGCTCTCGCAGGAAATCGCTGTTCTAGGAGAGAGAGGGGGAGAAGGGATGAGGGAGGGCTCGGGGGTAGAGAGAGGCCCCTGCCCAGGCCTCACCGCAGCCCCGCCCCCAACCTGCATCCTTCGATAGAAGTCGCTGTTGACTGCTACGTCGTAGGCGGTACAACCCTGGCCTTCTGCGGGGAGACAAAGGGGGTGAGGTCCCCAGCTTTCCGGGGCAAGCCCACCACCCAGACACAGGCAAAGAAAAAACAATGAGAGAAACCACAAGAACCGGAGACGCAGAGACGACTGGGAATTGAGAACTCAAGACATGCGCTTGCCAGTCTGGAC